CAGGGCGGAAAAACGACCGTACCCCGAGGCGGAGTTCGCACATTGAGGTAAATTTTTGTGGCCGGAGCTGGTCGTAACCCGAAAAGTTCGTTAGTAGAGGCGTTCGTATCCCAAGGTACCACTGTACTTAATAAATAATGCAGTTATGATGGAGAAGGCAGCTTGAATATGATCACCTTCATTTGGATGGTAAACAGCCACTTCCTAGAGCTAATAAGGGAAGACACATAGGGAAGGCAGAAAATGAATGGGGAAAAAAAAAGCGGTGTACATAACCCTTTAGATACATTGAATGTTATTTCTGATGGCATTTCTCAAGTACACAGCATCTTTTATATACCATATATACTTGTGTATAAGTCCATCTGCTGATAATCCAACCCTCGAATTTTTAACCAAGATACCATGAAAAATGTCCCACCCATGGATAAGCTGACCCTTGAAATTTTTGTATGTTTTAATTTTCACAATTGGCTTAGCCATGGTAGCACATTTTTCATGGTATTTTGGTTAAAATTTCGAGGGTCTTCATATTTGCAGATGGGCCTATATGGGATATACAGGTACTTTAAAAGCACTGAGGGGAAAACCTACCATATATACTTGCAGTAAGCCCATCCATGGATAAGACAAACCCAGTTTTTGGGGTGAATTGGCACCTAAAATTCTCAGCTTATCCGTGAGTATATATGATAATCTGTTTTTAGAACCCATAACTCTTGATTGCACAGTTACTCTTTTTTAAGGCAACTTGTCTTACATGTATGTTGACAACTATTATATGTGCATATATGCATCCTTTCCACAGCCACACACTGGCCTATGTGGTTCAGTTTACACAGCAAGCAAAACATTGCAATAATCATTTACAAGTACAGCAGATTTACAGTTTCAAGGGGGGCAGACCCTAAAGATTCAACCTTGCTAATGCTTCTCACTTTTCCTCAACCTGTCATGAGTGGAATTTGCAGGAGTTAAGATAATGAATATTTTTGAAGGTGAATATGGCTAAAGAAGAGCTTCTTCCATGCTGTGATTATGACAGATGCATTATAATACTAGAGGACCCCATCTGCAGACAATCAGATTCCTGCCATTCCATGTAGCTCTTGGTCACTTGAGACAGAAGGGATGACAGAATATGCCAGCTATACTTTTATGATTTTTTTTTTTCCAATTTGTGAAGGTATTTGTGTAGAGCAATGTTTTTCAAGCTTGGCAACATGGACTTCCCCAACCAGCATGCTGGCTGGCGAATTCTGGGAATGAAGTCCATGCAACTTAAAGTTGCCAAGTTTGAAAAAACACTGGTGTAGACCCTTAAATCATGGATGAATACATGCAGGATGTAGCTCTCAGTGAGCTTCTGTGTGGCATTCAGGTAGCCAGCTTCCTTCCGTGCATAGCTGGCAGCTGGAACTCATGACATCCAGGAAGCTGCACTGGGGAAGAGAGTCTGCCTTCAAGACAAACTCTTCCCTGCAGTGTAGCTCCAAAGCTGACTGGTGATCTGCTGAAGTGATGTTAATGCTATATCTTTTAATTGCTATAGTGCTATAAATATAGTAGCTACAGTATTGTAATGGAGCACCTAATGCTGTCAGCTGCTATGGAATATTACTGCTTCCTTACTGACAAGAAAGTAGCAAACTTAAGCAGTGTTGCTCTGTATGTGGGTGGGTGTGTAGCTGCAGTCTGGTGTCTGATATGGTCCTCAGAACTGAAATACATGTTGAGGAACAAGTGATATTAGAACAGAACCAGATAAATTTCCTCCCAATTAATTTGGAATTTATGTGGGAACCAAATGGCTTCTAGATCCAACACGTTCTTTATCTCTAGTTGCTTTTTTGTATGTGGGAAAGAGTGCCAAGAATGTGCTCCAAGACTTTGAAAGAAACTCTGATCTTTGTTAAAATCAGTGACAATTGTGTGGCTGCCTAGAAGACATCTGGTGACATTTCTGCCTCATTAAACTGTTGAAGCTGTGGCCTACTGCCTACCAATGCATTTAAGATGAAACTTTCAAGCAGTAACCGGTCTTTATGGTACAGTCCATTGTTTACTTTTCCCTCAGCTTTACAATGAATGATGCTTATTACAATGTTATAGCATAACCATGTATTTATCTGTATTCTGGAAATGTAGACTGGATGAGGAAGCCACCAAATGCCACCTCATTAAGCACAGATATATTAACATGACTTGTGTTTAGAAGCCACAGTGATCAGTTATTTTTTTTAATGCAGTAATAATTTACAGTACAGCTGAGGGCACAGACCATCTACGTTAAGCACTTCATCCAGCCATTAGCTGAGGCCTATATCTAGCTATGTGTCCGCATTATCTGCGATGCTAAAGCACCCTTTTCTGTGTATCTTATCTCTGGATTGGGGAACTAGTATCCACTTGAATGCTTTCTGACTTCATATATCTGAGATAGTCTAATATGCCAGTTCATACTAGGACACCCATTGCATCATATCCTCAGGCTTCATTTTTTTGTAGGTGATTGTTAAAATATGCTACAACAGATATTTTCCACTGTGTGGAATTTGAACAGTTAAGTAGAAAGATATTTAATGGCATTGCCATGTCTGTAGGATATGAGTGTTGCCTAATTCTGAGCATGTATTTAGGGGAACAACTTCCCTTTCCTTTTTGAACTGTTGGAAGCTTGTGCTAATTTTTGCTTTTCTTTCTGCTTTTGTTACATAGGACACAAAGCAATTCAACTTTCTGAATAGGGCTATTTTGAAATAAGACTTGCCAAGAATATGAGGTACTAATACAAAGGTCCTGGCTCTCTTTATAAACATCAGCACATTTTCAAGCAAATGTAGATTCTATGAAGACCTTCTTTTAAGAATGCTTTTTCTTAAGTAAAACAACAGTGCAAGAACTGATTTGTTGTACACAGAATTTGAAATAAACCCTTAGATATTTAAATGTGATTCTTTTTAAAAGTAAAGAACCAAAGTTGATATTCCTTCCTGTAGAATTTCACAATGCAAATGTTGGTTTTAAAAATAAACTTTGTTATAAACTAATTGAGTACCTGGATATAACTTATCTTCACCAAAAAATACATTATTGTTTCAGACTACTTCTGTTTTTTGTGCCCCCTGGATTGTAGGTGAATGTGCATTCTGAAAGGAAATTCATATTGTTGTTTTCTTGAATGTTAAGGAAACTTTTCTTGAATTTTAAGGAAAAATGTGGATCCAAAGGACTGCTTTTTAGCATATCTAGCATTCATACTGCAATGAGGACCTTAAAGCTGCTTACCTCAAGTCACTTTTTTCCAGCTCTAGGGTTTGTATTAAGATCTGGAAAATGTGGGCTTACTGACCGCTTTATAACGTGTAGAACAATCTCTGTCCAGCCTCTCTCATATATTGAGGAGATACTGATTTCAAATGACTGGTTTTTGTATTGCTTATTTTCTTCCCTTCCAAGTTTGGGTTCACTTTAAATATAGATGACTTGGAACTCCATTTCCAAGGCTGAAATTTCATTTCATTTCCAATCCTGAACAAGCCTATTTTTCTGAAAGTAGAGTCAAATTCCTTACACCAGGGATAAGTGTGGCTGACTATCAGGAGTGAAATTTGCTCCAAAAAGTCAGTAGGGTTTAGTAGATAGAGTATAGGTCTGGGACTTGAGCGGCCTCCAGGTTCATATTCTCAGTTGACGATGGATTTCACTGGGTGACTTTGGACTAGTCACTATTTTTAAGCCCAACATCTTAACCCTAATTATGTTAGGATAAAAATGAAAAGTGATCCATTAATGCTGCCTTGAAATGTAGGATATACACAGTAGGAAATAATTACCCTTACCTGTGACTCTTTAGTTCTGCAAATTCTCTTTCTACAGTTATACCAGATACCAGATGTAAGTCTTGGATTTCTCAAAGAGTGAGGTGACATTCTGCTTAGTGCTGTCTATTCCTTATCTTAAAGGTTAGAGCCCCTGACATGCTTTCATGTAGCAAGCATGAACATAGATTCAGCCTGTACCTATCACTGAGATTGTGAGCCAGAGTCCAGTTTTCGCAGAGGTACCCAGTTTATCCGGTAAAATCTTTCCTGCTCTTGGGGTATTATGGAGGATGTTTTAATCAGTATCTTCTCTTGCAGATTTGAAAGACTGACTGCATTAACCTTATTCTTGAATTAACTCATTTTCTGGGTTTGCACAGTGCATAGAGACAACCAAACAAATTGGGTTCAACACAATATATTAAACTACAAAAAGCCTAAGCAAGGTTAACACTAAATTTTGTACTAGGCCTGATCTAGGTCAACATGTTATATGAACACAGCCAATGCAGTTTTAAAAGGGCATGTTTGAACAAAAGTTACATTTAAGTTTCTTGCCAAGTATTTCAGTTCATGTCCTGATAAG